TCGACTTGGGATTAGCTCATATGTGTGTGCATCCATATGTGTGAGTGTAGACTACAGAAGGCTCTAAAGTGGATTGACTGACACTGGAAGGATGTTATGGCATGAAGAAGACAGGAAAAAGAACGATAGCGTGAAAAAGATTGAGAGCGAGGATGAAGATGTGAGGCCAGCAGGGGGGAACACGGCTTTATATCTCCTCTGTGAAAATCTGGAGATACTTAGCTGTCCTCGGTACTTTCGCTGGAAGATCTATAGTTTATCATCGGTGTCATTTTTAAGTCCTCTCCTGTCATTTTTACAGGAGTTGGCAGAAATGCGGAGACTTGGAAAGGCAGTGAGTCCAAATGAAACACAGAAGGAGTGACAGGGTGACCAAAAGAGGCTAATCCTCCGCTTCCGTAATCCCTCTGATGGTGCATGAATGTTCAAACAACCCTGCTTAAGGATCTATAAGCGGCACAAAGCAGCGTGATGTTGACAAAAACATAAAACTTTGGACTACCTATATACCTACATCAAATACTTCGTAGCAACCGATATCCATCCATGGTGTGTGTTTGCTAAGAAAACAGCACAAACTTGACAGATTTGCACTTGATTTATCATTTTGTTCCACTGTTCAGAAATCACACGGGGAGAAATGGAGAGTTCATACTTACAGCAGCTTTAATAGACCAGATAACAGCGCTCTCTCTCTCACCCATACTCTTGTCATTATTAGGTTCTTGCTAAAAGCTAGCCTAATACCCAAAAGTTCATATAAATTCATCTGGCAGCTTCGGAAAGAGCTTCTGGGAAATGTGAAGAACGAAAGCCAAAAGTATTAAAAGTGGTAAATTATACAACCCATCAGAAAGTACTCAGCAGGTAGCAGCACTGAACATCACCAACTGATTGCACTAATGGATATCTGAGTTGCCTTTTGGGTACGTGGTAGCATAACAGCTCGGACTCATTGAGCAAAAATGTTTCACAGAGTAAGATTTAATATTGGCCAGTAAAAGTCACACAAACAAACCTGCCTTGTGAACTGCATGTAGTAATTCTGCGAGGGCACATAAGGGTTTTCCTGTTTTGTTTTTGAATGGAAGCATATTTTCTTACACTTCAATGATACACCTCAATGTTGCAAAGCTGAATTTATGCAGAAATAGATATTTAGCCGTCCTATGTTCTTCAGTGTAGATTCAGAGTGTGCACTCCCTTTTGTTTCATCGTCATTCAGCTGCATCTCCCTGTGCCCGGTTCTTCCTGATAAAAGGGAGTTCTTCCTCCCCACCATCGGATTGCGGAGGTTTTCTCTCTCTTACAATACGAAACGCCTCGAGGCGGCTGTTGCTGTAAATCAATTGTTGCGATCTAAATAAATTTAACTTGAGTGTAAAAGTGAACCTGTCTAAACTTCCAGGCTCACATTCAGTTTGTGTTTTCAAACAGAATCAGTCTGAGATGTTATCTTGAAAAGTTGTAATGTTGAGAGACTGAAGAAGAAGCTACTATAAGATGTGTATCCATAGCAACAGGGTTTTTGTACTGCAGACAGTATTAGCAAGCTTAGAAGTCAGCAGAGGAGGGAAGTGTTTCTCTCCGTGTCTCTATGCGGTACCATGACACCGGTTCCTTCGTTTCTGCCTCATCTGTTCTTCTCTGCATTTATTGTTCCCCACAGACTTGTTGCTAATCTATTCATTGGGGTTTACACAATTACTGTAATGTGCTACTGCTTCCGCCTTCCTTCTCTCTTCTGTGCCGTTTAAAGGCTGGTGTGCAGCAGCATTATCCCTTTAAACCTCCAGCACAGGTTACTATTAAGCCAAGGGTGTCTGCCCCGTCATTAGTCATTTAGTGATCACGGAGGTATAATGTCAGAGGTCAGGAATACCTCTTTTTTTTTTTTTTTAGATACTTACAGATACTGGGAAACCTTGAAGCTTTGCTCAAGCTTAGCTCAAAATCTTCATTTCAATCTTATTCATTGTGTCTTTTTCTTGAAAGCTGACCAATTCTTCACTCCTGCCAACAGCTGGACAAGTGAGGCAGTAAGCAGCTGTAGCAGTGCACGGCGTGAGAGTATGAGAGGAATGAGGCAAACAAAATTTATGTCGAATTTGGGGCTCTAATCATTTTCACACATATACTCAATGGACGGTCTCTTTAGAAATCTGAGGTGACTTGCGGTTTGTTGGTTTTGGAGATGTAAAACAAGAATCTGGAGCTGTGTTCCCCGTCTTATAGTCAGCATTTAACTGTCTGACAGGCCTGTCTGAACACTTTATTTCAAAGTCTGTCTCAGGTTTAAGACCAGGTTCATCACCCATGACTGATCTAGTGGCAGTAATTTCTTCACTTCCAGGCTTAGTGCTTGCACAAGTCACCCTCCATCCATCGATAACAATGTGCATCCGTTCTGAGCGTTACAAGCGAAAGCGTCAGTTCAGCATCTTCGGTACCGTGAAATCCCTTAACTCCTAATCTCTAACCTTTAACCCCAGCACTGTCACCTTAACTATAACCCCATAGCCCTCATAATACCAGAAGAACAAATGCTAACCTAAAACCCTGAAAAGGGTGTGTGTGTGTGTGTGTGTGTGTGTGTGTGTGTGTGTGTGCAAAGAGTTGAGCTGGTTCAGGCTAAATACAGCTCACTCAGGAGAGGGTTTAAGAGTTGTTAAGGGGGCTTATCCAACACACACTAGAGGCTCAGTCTTTCTCTCTGAAGGCATAGCCACATAACAACAGGCAGTTACACACAAGTATTATAATAGTTGTTTTGAAGGTGCACAAAGGCTTCATGATTTTTCTGATGATGACAAAGCATTTCAGAGGGAAGGGCCGCCTGTTGTGCCAAAACTGACTATCCTGCCAAAGGAAGCTCAAAACAGCTGGTAGAAATTGCTATTTAAAGGCATCAAAATGACTCAAAATCCTCGAATTATTGCAGAAAAGCCAAATGAAAACTTAATAGTTTGTTTTTACGCCAGTTTAAGGGCTCAAAAGGGGGTCTGTGAGTAGTTACAGCCACACTGTGAAACAGCCACACTGTGTTCATGGATAATAGTTCTCCACGTTCAATCCAAAGTACCGTATTTTCCGCACTATAAGGCGCACTTAAAATCCTTTAATTTTCTCAAAAATTGACAGTGCACCTTATAATCCGGTGCGCCTTATGTATGAATTCTGGTTGTGCTCACTGACCTCGAACCGATTTTATGAGGTACACGACACTCAAAAATCCGTCAAAAATGTTTTAGTACGACTTTGGTAAGCTACGAAGCCGCACCGCTTGATGGATTGTCGGCTACCGTAGTCAGAAGCCTGGCGGAGTAATCTATTCACTTCAATTCAATTCAATTTTATTTTTCTAGCGCCAAATCACAACAACAGTTGCCTCAAGATGCTTTATATTGTACAGGTAGATCTTACAATAATAGATACCAAGAAAAACCCAACAATCATATGAACCCCTATGAGCAGCACTTTGATGACAGTGGGAAGGAAAAACTCCCTTTTAACAGGAAGAAACCTCTGACAGAACCAGGCTTAGGGAGGGGCGGGGCCATCTGCTGCGACCCCAATCTGGGTCCAAAACTCCGTCTACTTCAGGTTCCAAAGTCAAATGATCACTGCAGCATCACTGAGAGTTAAAAACTGTCTAAATTCTTTCATCTTTAATAAAATGATCTGCGTTGCTGCTTTACCAGGTGTAGCAATTAAGTTTAACATCCAGGTATCCATGAAAACAGAATTTAACGGAGTTAGAAGTTAGCAGGAAGTTAGCTCGCTAGCTTCCACCTAAGCATGATATAGCATGTTCTGACTGAGAGATTTCTGAAAAATTCAAACGTACAGCTCTGCTATCACTTCTAACATAAATGAAGACAGGAAACTAAACAGCAGTGACGTTTGTAGGGTTACTGAAGTTGGGCTAGCTGGTATATAATGATGTGCTACGTGATCGCTAGCGACACAGCTATGTTAGCATAACATAAACACAATGAAGCTGGAGGATGAACGCTAACTTTTTTCCATTCGATAAAAGTTAACATGAGGGTTCCCGATGGTTAGGGACAAATGCAATCGCATGGCAGGATGTTGTAAATGGACCAAACTTCAGTCAGGAGAACAACTGAGATAATCCATCCAGAACACGAGGTTAGTCATTAATATACTGCAACAACACGGGAATAGAGCAGCTGCAAGAGAATTCAACATTAATGAATCGATAGTACAGAAGTGGAGGAGCAAGAAGAATGAGCTGAGTAAGTTTAACTGGTCTGACTGTTCTGCTTAACGTGTCTTATAATCCGGTGTGCCTTATGTACGAAAACAGACCCGTTCATCGACAGTGCGCATTAAAATAAGGTATGATGAAAGACTGGCAGCCCGCCCAGTGTGTACGTAGCCTCTCGCCCATTCTTATGAATTTATAGAAGTGTCATTGCATGAATGATACAAAATAAATAGATTCATTAGTTCTGTATAGTTGTTGTCTAGACGGTGCACAGAGTCAAATAAGGGAAAACTCTGTGTGATAAGGGTGGGTTGGTTTGGTTGATCTTTATTTTTGTCCGTGTGGTCATGACATGTCGGATACCGCTGTCATATTGGTTACAGCAGCCGTGTTTACCGGTGGTCTTGACTCACTCAGCAATGAAGAGTGCAACACTCACACTTACAGATGCACACATAACCATACATCTCGCTGAGTGACGTTGTCCCTGTCTGGTTCTGCAGCCGCAAACCTAGAATGTTTAGTCATTTTTCACCCAGAGGATAATTACCTAAATAAGAGAAAGGTGGAGTGTGTGTCTGTTCGCATGGCTGGTTATGTAATTTTGTCAGTGACCTTTTAAGCAACAATATTTTGCTTTCTGTCTCCTTGTGCGTTATGCAGTAGTCACACATAAAGGGATTGAATGTGGGGAAGGAAACACGTCACGATTTATTTTTCTCTGTCTGTGTTTGTTCTAATCCTTCCTCATCCTCTCTGTTCTTTTCAGAGTGACCAAGTCCTGGTTTGGTGTGAAAACCACAGACGCTGTGCTCAGGTAAATACTACACACACTCACAAGCTTGGGCTATGACATCATACCAATTTGTTAATTTGGTCCAAGACTTACCAGGAACATTAAGCATATAACCAACCCCTCATTGTCCCGTTACCTCAAACATCAAGAAACAGTCCTAACCCCTAAACAAAATAGGAGCAAATGCCCGGGTTCATCTTCTTTTAGCAGCATACCCTGCGCAGTGCCCAAAGCTATAGCCTGCCAAAAACACCTTCCTTGAAAATTACCTACACATTGTGTTGACACAGACCAAATCATCTACAATGGAGCACAACTGATTCCTCAGCAGATCTTATCTATCTGCCTGTTTTTTGAGCGGTATCTGCCTTTATAATGGTCGATAAATGAAAATTAAAAAGTAAAGAAGAGACAGGAGAAACATCCTTCAACCCTGTTATCAGTGTTGATGTTGCATAGTTTGTCCACCAGAGGGCAGTCTGCACGTATCTGTTCACAACTTGTGTTTAAAACATCGCAAACACAAAAACCAGCTAATCCGAGCCGAGTTGGGCAGCGTGGAAATGAGTAAATGAATAACTTCACATAACAAATGTTAATGGAGGGCTGTTTATGTTTTGCGTATCAGAAAGAAAAAAATGATTGAATATAATATATCTTTTCTAAATATCAGCCGTAGAAATCCTGTATCAGTCGGATTCTGTTAATCAGAAGGTAATAGTAAAGTTTATCTAACTTTCTCAAAGTGGGACTGCAGTAGCTAGTTGCTGTAGCTAGCTGCTGTAACAACTAGCTACAGCAACTAGCTAGTGCTAGTTGCCACTAGCCACTGCTAATAGCAACAGTTTAGTTACAGTTGTCTTGTGATAGCATAAAAGTACAAATGCAAATGATGGCATTTATTAAGGTCTATGGAGATTCTGCAGGGCCGTAAATCAACTTCACCTGCATAAAACTCTGGCTCCAGAGTTAGCAGTGAGGACCAGTTAATTGAAAAAAGTAATTAATTACTGATTACTGATTACTTCTCCATTAAGTAATCCCATTACTCTACTGATTACTTATTTTCAAAAGTAATTAGTTACTTATTAGTGATTACTTCCCCAAGAAAGTAATCCTGTTACTTTATTGATTGCTTATTTTCAAAAGTAATTTTGTTACTTTTTAAAAACATGCTACCCAAACTGAACACGTAATAAAGCAACAGACCTTTCAGCCCAATTGTAATTTTTTTCTCCATAATCCATTATATAAAACTGAATCATATGAAAAAGTCTCTTTTTAAAACTTGTTTTATTAATTTTAATCTTTTAACTTTATATATCAAGCAGAAATTAAATTATATGCAACAGTCTTTGACTTGAAGAAATGTGTTTAACATTTAAACCTATTTTCTGCATATTCCAGCATCTAAAATAAAATCATTTTTTGTGTTTACACTCACTCTTTCAAATAGATGCAAGTAAAAACAGCAACATGTCAGTGAATGTCACATTCCTGTGGCAGCGTGCTTGCTGCTCGCTCAGAGCTGAAGTTTAATTTTTCGCTGTACAAAGACGTTTTCTTCCCACGCAGAGTGTGCAGTGGACACTAATGCTTTTGTCGCTTTTTACAGAATCAAACTCAAAGTATTCTGAGTACTTCCAAGCTTTAAACGCTGCACGGTCGTACTCTCTCCATCACTCCATATTATCCACTGTTGATCTGCACACGTCTGTTGCTGCCACGAACGTCATACACTCTCAAAATCAAAATCACACTTTAGTAGCGCAGTAACGTTGCATGCTTATAGGAAAGTAACAGTAATCTAATTACTTTTTTTGCAATGCTAATCCCTTACTTTACTCCTTACCTGAAAAAAGTACTGCGTTGCTGCCCGTCTCTGGTGAGGACCGCAGAGTCAAACCAAAGACAAAAATGTAAAAAAGATCAGAGGAAGTGAGATCTTTGCACTAGTTTTACTAAATGCGTTTGGCACAGATTTGCCTCCTGTCACATGATTAAAGCAGCCTTTTAAACTCAACACATGCATGCTTGTGGCTGTGTTACTGAATATCGTCTTTCAGCATATTATCTCGGTTTGATTAGCTGGCACATTTAAAACATTGGAAGCGTCAATTGAAAATGAGCAGAAAAATATGCACACGTGTTTTTTGTCCTCGGTGTGTACAAGAGCATACTGTAAACTATCCTGAGTCTGTAGCAACAAACTTGATTGTGCAACTGCACGTTAGAAGGCCAAGTGCCTCATAGTGGCCCACCTCAAAATGAAAAGGAACTTGGTGAGAGTGTCCCTATCCATTCACTCTCCTGTGGAGTCTTTAAGCCTCCACATTGCTTTCGTAATAGCACAGGTTGTGTTTTCATTTCAAATAATGTTCTCCTCTGTATCCCATTATCCATCCTCCATGGAGCAAAAATTAACGTGCTTATTCACTTTACACTGTCAGTAGGCTCAGGGTCTGTGTGTGTGTGTGTGTGTGTGTGTGTGCAAACATGCACGTGTGGTAATTCATTGTTTGGTTCAGGAAGCGTTTCCGTGCCCGGTATTTTTAGCTGCCAGTCTGTCCGCTCTACAGCAGTGTTTCCCATCGTAGTCTTATAGCAGGCCAACACACAAGACTGAAACTAGTTCTCCACGGTTTGGATGTTAATAATCATGTTTTAAATGTGTAAATACTAAATGCTAAAAACCTAAATCCAGGGAAATGCACAGCACTGTGCAAAAGTCCTGAGCAACCAGCCAGCAGCAGCCAGACTTCTCCAGGTTTTCTGAGATCTTTCAAAGTTCTTCTTTGAACTTTGGCTGCTTTATTGTTCATTTTCAGTGGAGTGGTTTTGTTTGTTTCGCCCGTGAATCATTCAAGCATGTTGTTTAAGTACGTTGTTACTAGCAGTTTATCACAAAACACATAATTTGTAATTTATTTTGTTGAAACTATGAAAAATACCAAAATATAACGCAAAATGCAAAAAGATTCCTTAAGAGCCAAAACCTGACATATCTCAGCACAGTGTGTCAAATAATAGTGCAGAGTGTCCTTAAAGAAATTTAGGAAACTGGACAAGTGGAGGACAAAAGAATAAGTGGGAGGCCTGAAAACTTTATCTAAAGCTGAAAGTCATGTCCTTAAGAAATAGGAAAGAATCCAGCAAAGACCTGACACCGAACTTGAGAGATGCATCTGGAACTTCAGTTGATCTATCTGCAATTCGCCAAAACCTCATCAGAAATGGTCTCAGTGGAAGGGTGGCTGTCAAGAAGCCATTCTTAAGGAAGTGAAACAAGGGGAAAAGGCTGCAGTATGCCAAATTACACAAGAACTGGACTAAAACTCAGTGGCAGCAGTGGATATGGAGCGATGAATCCAAATTTGAAGGAGGAGGTGTGGAGAGAGGTAGAACAGCCAGTGTCTACAGCCTTTAGTGAAACACGGGGGAGGCTCTGTCACGATTTGGGGCATTTTTCAGCCGGTGGTGTTGGTGATCTTCTCGAAATTTAGGGGAACTGTGAATGCAGGAACGTATTGTTGGATTTTGATGCACCGTGCAAAACCATCTGGACAGTTTCTTTGACAGTGGTCACTGCAGTAAAGAGAAACGTTTGTGCAGTGCTCTCTTAGAAAAGTGTACTATAAGGACGGTACAAAGATAATGATTCTTTGCTATAAGTAACAAAACATGAAAAATGTCCTTCAAATAACCTTCCATCACGACCTTTTACTCACTGACCGTAACTCACTCTCGACTTCTCGAAAGACTCTAACTTTTTATTGATGTGTTTTCTGAACTCCTCGTTCGAGTTCAGACAAATCGAAAAGCCTCAACCCAGCTGGAAGCACACCTGAGCAGTATTTCACTTCTTACGACATTTCCAAGCTTTGCTACAAATTCACAAGACAGTTGGATAATGGAAAAGGTACAAACAGGCACAGCGAGAGGCCTTTTCTGTATAGCGTGTATTTCAGTCGAGTGTGTATGCGTTTGTAATGGGGTCAGTGGGGGTTAGTGTCAACAGCAGCCAAGAGCCCCCACTGAAAGCTCAACCACCAGACCGTTGCAGGGGATACCACGCTGAGCGAAACATCAACTTTCAACTACACTTACCCCCGCCGTCACCTCAAACAAAAAAACACAAACAGATATTGTTCCTTTGACCTGCCCACACTAATCCCTTCCTTTGTCTCGACTTCTCCAGTTCTTCCCAGTTTGCTGCTTCTACAAAGAAACATCCTATCGTTTCAGAAAATATGAAACAGAAGTTTAAAGCCACGTCTTTGTGTTTTGCTGTTGTACACGTGTGAATACCGGCACGGCATTGCGCTGTAATCGAGGTCCGGCGGCAGTCTCTCAAACTGGCCGGCGGAGGTCGACGCAGTTTTCCTCTCAGACAGCGTGATACTGCACAGACGTGCACCGTGTCTCTTCTTGCTTGTTTGAATTGCAAAGTTATTAATTCTTACTGTTTTACAGCCTGTTGAAAGTGGATACAGCCCAATTTGTAAAAGTCACCGCAGTAGGCCAAGCAAAATAAATTAGAGCAGAAAAGCACATATCCTAGTCCTCTGCCGTAATTGCCAAGATTAATCAAAATAACGAATTGCATAGCGAAAGAAGTCCAGCAGTGTTTAATGCACTCAAGGTGTGCGTATTTGCTAACTGGATGTTTGAGAGATGTTCAGACTTTGCTGCTTTTTATTGATTATGCACCCGGGGAGCGTTGCACGCTGCACAGTTTACGTCTTGTTGCTTCACAGGTTTTTGCTAAAAATGAAGAGAACTCTAGTCTGCTCTATTCTGGTTTGATGTTTAACCCCTGATCATGATAACGGGTTACTGTGAGATACAGAAAGACAGATAAGGATCGCTGAGAGTGATTTGGTCACACCAGAGACTCCAGTCGCTGTAATGTGAGACGGTCTCTATTATTGTTCTCGCTGAAACGTCTCAGCAACATTCAATATATCCACATGACTCTGGGGATAATCTGACTTCTCCTCAGAAAAGGTTGCAACAATGCA